TACCTAGAAGAAAAGGATGAGAAAGAAGAAGGCTAAGCCCCTGGCTTTAGTATGATAAAAAAGTGAAGCATAGGGTCCACCAAAGCTGGGTACTCAGACAAACATCATGCAATTTGAGTTTAGATTTTAAAGTGTAACACCATTAGAATAAAAGAAAACTGGAGCTAAGTAGAACTTAAGCCCTGTTTAATGTTATATGTACAACAGAAGAAATCTCAAGTCTCAAATATGAATAAAGTGAGCGACTTCGGATAGGACAGAACCCTTAGGCATATTTCCTAGAAAAATGACCCTTCAGAAAGATACTATTTATACAAGGTTTTATATATTCCTGTAATTTTTCAATACAACATTGGCACACAAGAAAAAAACACCGTAAACCAGCAGAAACAGATGCAAAAAATTTAGAAACTGAAATTATCTGTCACAAACAAATGAACTATGAATACAGTCGGCCCTCTGTATCCACAGATCTAACCACCTGTGGATTAAAATATTTTAAAAATGAAAATAACAATAGTAAAACATCAGTCAGGTGTGGTTGTTCACAGGTATAATCCTAGCACTCTGGGAGGACAACGTGGGTGGACTGCTTGAGCTCACAAGTTTGACAAAATACAAAAACTGAGGCAAGAGGATCACTTGAGCCCAAGAGTTGGACTTTGCTCTGAGTTATGATGAGGCCAGGGCACTCCACCCAGGGTGACAGCTTGAGACTCTTTAATAATAGTATTAAAAAATATACATAAAAATACAGTTTAACTACAGAAGAACTTCCACAGTTGACCACTTCCTTAATTTGACATAATTTTCATAGACCAGGCATACACCGTATGTACAGCAGGCCTAATTACTTATGTTAACCCCTACCATATATTCACCTGTTTGTTACCGTCCCTTGGGTGATCAACTTGGGTTCTACTGCACATTTGTATAGTATGTACACTGTATTAGGATAAAAGTAACCTAGAGATGACTTAAAGAACATGGCAGGGTGTATGTAGGTGATATGTAAATACGATGATAGTTTTATACAAGAGACCTGAGTATCTACAGCTTTTGTTATCCCATGAACACTGAGAAATGACTGTACTATCCCAATAAAAACCAAGACTGCAATTTTCAACAGGTAACTAGAAACAGTAAGACTGGACAAAGCCAATATTTTTAAAAAAGATACTGAGGCACTGATTCAAGAATCTCAATAGATATAAAGCAAGACAAAGAACCGAACACAAAACATTAGGACAAAACAGGAGAGAAACTATGACCAAAAAAACAGTTTAAAAGACAGCTTTCTTTCACAGCAAGAATTAGACTGACAACTGATGTTTCAAAATCAGTAATAGAAGCTAAAAATAATGGAATATTATCTTCAAGATGTATAGATGAGATAACTATACATCCACAATTTAAAACCCCTAAAACATTCTTCAAGATTGAACGCAAAACAAAAAAATTAAATCAAAATATTAAGAGAAATTGTTCATCAGAATGTCTGCATTATGGAACGCCTATAAAGTATAGTAAAACAAATGGAAAAAGAATAGGAAGAAAGTAAGAGTAAAGAAAAGTGGTAAACATTAGGGAAATCCAGATCAAAATTAGTGATAGAAAACAGTGTTATGAAACAGAAATAAAATACAACCCACATAAGCAATTTTGCACTATCTGGTATTCCATTAAAAACCCAAACAAGATGAAATTATAATTTCAACATGAAATCATAATGAAAAGATGAGATATTTTAAATTGTTTTCACACTAAGTCTTTGAAATCCATTGTTTATTTTACATTTACAGAATATCATAATTCAGATGCTAAACTGTCATTATTTTTATAAAATTTACGGCTGAGAAAGTATTTTTATTGAAATTATTCCAAACATAAGTTTTACAGTAACTAAATAAAGTATTAATTTTCAAATTTAAATCAACACTAGATAAAACTAAAAATCCAGTTCCTCAATTACATAAGTCACATTTCAAATGCTCAAAACTAAAGGCTCCTGTATTGAATACCACGTTTTTTTTTTTTCCTGGAGTTAAAATTCCATATAGAATTCAAACGACAACAACAGCTAATAAGCTGGTAAAGGCCTAAATGAAGATAAAATTTATCCAGGAAGAAAATAATGTTCTAAGCAAAGCGAAGATATCTGCCAAACTGCTACAAATCTTTTGAGTAGAAAAGACAAGCCAATAGAAAAACTTCACAAAGGAATTAAAAAGACAATGCACAAAAGATCTAAAGAAACAACTGAAAAAACAATCCCAGAAAGAGGAAATCCAAACAGTTGATTGGTCTTGTTTTGTTTTGTTTGTAGAGACAGAGTATCTCTTTATGGTCCTCTGCAGAATGCCGTGGCATCACACAGCTCACAGCAACCTCCAACTCCTGGGCTTAAGTGATTCTCTAGCCTCAGCCTCCAGAGTAGCTGGGACTACAGGTGCCCGCCACAACGCCCAGCTATTTTTTTTGTTGTTGCAATTTGGCCAGGCCAAACCCACCACCCTCCTCATATGGGGCTGGCGCCCTACCCACCAAGCAACAGGTGCTGCCCAGCCGTTTGGTTTTTGAAAAAGTAAACAAACTCATTAGTAAGGAAGACAGGATAAATTAAAACAATAATAAGATAAAGTGACATTTATCAAGTTGGCAAAAATGAAAAATAACTGTTGGTGGGACTACAGAAATAAAGGGATCTATCATATAGATAGGTCAAGATCAATACACTCCTATGGGAGCATAAGTGAGTATATTCACTTTGTAAAAGTTTGGCATAATCTAATGAGGCTGATGACAAAATATATGCTTATGTACACAAGAATATACGTCTAAGAACATTCACAACAGCACTTTCATAATTGCTAAAAACTAAACACAATCCAAATGTCTATTAATATTAGGTAAAATTAGTTGTGGCTTATTCCTAGTAACAACTTACTTTACTATTGACATTACTATATTGCAATGAAAATATATGAATTACAGTTAAATGTACTAACAGGGTTAAATCTTAGCAGGCAGAATGAAAAAACACAATGTACATAATACATAATCCATAACAGGAAAAACTAATCTAAATATACTTAAGAATGCTCACAGAGGTGGTCATAAAAAAATTGAACGGAAGTGCTAAATAATTACCATAAAAATCAGGAGAGTGTTATCCTCTGGGAGAAGTGTAAAGAGGGAATGATCAGAAAAGGATAGCGGAAGAGTTCACCAGTGTTCTAATCCTTGACTGTTGTAGTAATGACAGAGTTCATTTCAAATGTATTCATTATCTATACATCTATTTTTGCCGTTTCCTATTTATTATTTAACGATAAAAAGATTGCAGTATTGTATCTAAGGCGCATTAATTGACGTCTTATATATGTATACACTTTTTCATACACAGTGGTAGACATTTAGTTTCAATATAAAGCAAATTTTAAGCACAGAGCCTATTTCTGATTCCATCTGACATGATTTCTGCACACACGGAAAGTTGCAAGCACCAGGCAATGATGCATGAATAAGGTTCGATGCCAAAACTTGATGTAAAGAGCAGAAAATAAGTAACTTTAATTGATAGTGTACCCTAAAGAACTCAGGCTACAGAATTAAACAATGAGAAATTTTAGATTCTTAGTTTTCCAAGGAGTACACACTACACAGGTGTTGATCTTCAAAGCATCCTTACAAAAGAAGGTAGCTAAAGGATTGGAACGTTTTAAATTAAATTTGAATAAAAAGAATGTGAAAAGGCGTACTATTTTACTATAAAAGCTTACTAATATAAACTTATAAATCCTTTCTTATACACTTGGAATTCTGATTTTATGACAGAAACATAGTCAGCAAAAATGGGTAGCATTTAATTCAGAAACTAACGGCTCGAAAACTAAGGACAGTACCTAAAGAAACTTAAGACAAAACATTCATTCTAAAATTCTCTCATTTACATTATAGGAAGGAAAAACCTTTGATTTATCAACTGTAAAACTCAACATCAAGGATGACACATTTCCACATCCCTCTCAGAGAACGGGGATAAGCTTTGTGTTGCAGTAAAAATCCAAGACATGGAGGAAAATTCCACTCAAGACTTTCTTTTCTGCTCCTTCCCCCAAACCACTACAGAATTCCAGGGAGAGTTGCAAGGTAACGAATGAAGGGCGCAATATGCGATACAAGCAATGCATCTGATGCAACCGGTTAAAATTCACAAACTGGGCTTAGTCCCTGGATATTGACCCCGCTCTGCAGTCTGCACAGTTAACTGCTGAGGCGCTACAATTTCTCTTTCTCACGCGAACAAGTTGCTCATCCACCACCCCGCTGCAGAGCTAGTATCGTCAGGACTCCCTGCAGTTGTCAGGGATTCATCTGCAAGCTCACAGGGAGGCCACGAGTTAGAGCCCGCCAGCTCCAGGCCTGCCCGGCCTAGACAAGCCTGCCTGCTTCCCATATTCCCAGCCTCCCAATCTTTCCATCTTTCTCCTTTTGGTTCGCCTTTCACCAGTGGCCTGCGTTTGAGATCATCTTACCCACATCATCTCTCGCAGAAAAGCTCGACTTACCAGGCAAAGGCCGGGAACAAACAACTGCAGCAACCACTTAACCAGTCTTCCTCGCCGTCCCCTACTGGGCTTCACCTGCAGATGCCAACGGTACACAACCACTCCCGGCATGCGCCGCGCACGTACCACCTCTCTCACCCCGCCCCCTTCCCGCCCAAACACGTGACTGCTTTTCGGGTCGGTCCCCGCCCACTTCCGTTCCTCTACTTTCTCTTAGGAGGGAGGAGGGAGCCGAGGGTGTTAAAGAGTAGCAACTTCCTCCTCCTTCCCGCCCCCGCCCCTCTACCCCCTGCTACAACGTCTTCCGGGTCGCGACGCCTCGGAGCCTTCTGGGAAAACATCTCATTTCCTCCCCTCCCCCTCCTCCTGCCTTCAACCAACCAGCCTCCCGTCAGAAAGGGACATGCGCAGTGAGTGCCTCCCGTCTCTTCTACCCGAGCCCCCCCTCCCCCCCCAAGCAGAGAGACCCCAGCAGCAGCAGCAGCTGATGATGAAGAGAGAGGCAGTGGCAGAGGGGGGGCATCTTTTATTTCTATTTTTAAAGGGACAGGACACTAATTCTACCCCACTTCAACCTTGAATTGAGGGGGGTGGGGGGAAGGTGGCTGAGTTCCTTCCCCCACCCTCCAGCCCTGAGCCCTGAGAGGGGGATTGAGCCTGAGAGAAGGAGAAGGAGTTTCTTCTTCTTCGAAAACCTCCATCCACGACTCCTACCCCCTCACCCCTCCAACTCGCCTCCCTCCCGAGCCCCCTCCACCCTCCTCCTCTTTGGCCGTGAGACGAGGAGAGAAAGAGACCAAAAGCCTCTTAGCAACACAGACCCTTTGCTGCTGTTGCTGCTGCTACTGCTGCTGCTGCTGCTGCTGCTGCTGGTGCTGCTGCTGCTACTGCTAGTGCTGCTGCTTGGCCCTGGCTGGAGACATCTCACTACACCCAGGAGCAGCCACTTCCCCAGCTCTCCTCCTCCTCCTTCGCCGTCTCCTCCTCCACTCCCCCCCCCCCTTTATTACCCTTTGTGTCATCCTCCACAGCTCCAGGGAAGGCACTCAAAAGTGGGGGGCAGGAAAGGTAAGTGTGTCTGTGGGGGTTTCATTGCCTTCCTCTGGCTCTGACTTTCACTCCGGGGCAACAGTAGCACCAAACCACATACGCAGTGGAGCTCCGGGGTGGGGAGGGGGTGGTGCTGGGGGTGGGGGTGAAGGAGGGGTTGGAGTGGGGAGGGGTGTGTGAGGTGGGGTGCCCATCCTGTCAGGGAAGGAGGGGCACTTTTATTTTTATTTGCTGTTGTCAAAAGTGGTTTCTCTCCTCCAGCTAACATCTGATTGTGTCTTGCTCCAGTGGGGGAGAATACAAAAACAACCCCCTCCTTCCTCCAATAAGGCGCAAGGGAAAGAGACAGAAAGAGGCACACTTTCTAGATGTCAGTTTAAAAAATTCATTCGAGGAGCTTTTTCCTCCTTCCTCAGGAAAAGCTCCACTGCATTTGTTTCTGAGTGGGAAAATGTCGGGATCTGGATTGTATTGGAACTGCTTATCCATTTGTAGACCAGAGTGTTTTCCTCTTTTGGTCCTATATGTGATTTGGATATTGACTTACTTCAGTGTTGGAAGACTTGATTGGTTTTTGCTTACGGTTTAATATTCCATTTTTTTGTTTTGTCTGACTTGCATAGAAAATTTCAAATTTTTAGTTGATAGAGGCCTTTGGTTAGGTTTTGACTTGTATCACTGCTTTTTTTGTTAAATGTTTGTTTAATGTATCAGTATATAAAGTTCAAAGCTCCAAAATGCTTGAAGTTTAAATGCCACTGGTATTGTCTGTTCCTGCATGTGTTCCTGATACTTATTTTTATAAGATGAGAAATTAGCTGTTTTATAATTCATCTGGATTTTGTAATCTTTGTAACTTGTCTGAACAAGTAATCCCCTTTGAAAACTTTATGTTGTTCTGCCTGCATGGAAGCCCAAACCTCTCCATCAATAGTTTGTTGGATTGGTACTACTCTCAGTTTTAACTGAATTATTTATTTACTGTTGTAAATTGAGATGAGCTTTTCATCTCTTGGGGTACTGAACCAAATTGCTCACTATATGTGAAAGAATACAAATTTCTAAAATACATTTTCATGAGCCAAAGGAATTGTGAAGTTGCATTTAGTGTATTAATTGTAGTTATAGATTGTAAGGTAAATACAGATTTATGTTTATAGAATAAGGAAATTGATAAAAATCACTGTTTTCCATTTTTACTTGGCATGTTCTTAGTGAATAGCTTTCAAATTCAGCACTGTATTTTATTTCACAAACATTAGAAGGTCTATTTCTGTTGTAGGCCTTTTACTAAGGCCTATATTGGAAAGTGGTAGTTTGTTTCATTTTTACATTTCTTTATTCTTTCCTTGAAGATAGATGCTCACATGCATACATACACACACATTCTCTCTTTCTCTCTCACACCCCCCCTTTTTTTAATCTTTGATTCCGTAATTTGTGTCAGCAAAAAATATTCTTCTCTAAAGCAGCAGTTTTGTGATCAGACTGGCAATATGAAAACAGCAATTTGATCGACAATAAAGGATCGAAGAAATATAAATCTAGAAGGTTATTTCACTTAAATATTGGAAAGAAATGATAATACTTTTAATTTTATTTTCTTGATGGTAAGCTAAGACATAACATGCTTATGTTTTAGTGACAGAAAAGCATTGTAACTGTAGAGATGTGATCTGTAAAATTTTAATTACCAAGTGTGTGCAAAAGTAGACATTTAAACACAGGACATAAAAAAGCTATGTACCAGTAAGCAATATGGCCTTATTTTCCTTTTTACTGTTACAAATTTGAACAGTTTCTTACCTTTCTCTGAGGTGTAATTGGTGCACCTAAGAAGACATGTGCCAAGTTCAAGTTTTTCCAACCAATGTCAATATTACTATTCCAGGTCACATAATTCTTGTCCTTACCTTAAAACCTCTACAACCTTAATGTAAGAGATAAGCAGTAGAATTATTGAAGTAATACATTTTAAGTTAAGTGAATTATGTAAATAATTGGGGTGGTAGTTGGTCCAGTAGACAGCTCATATGTGGTCTTTAGTTTAAAATCTTTACTTATTGTTTCTATTTTCCTTTCACAATATTCTTTTCCCCACCTCCGCAGGTTAATCCTTTATGGTTGAAAGATCCAGACTTTCTCTAAGTTAGGATAATGATTTATGTTTAGAAAATCATTTATTATATTTTATCATGGTTTATGGGTTATTTTAAGTATTACAAGCTATTGATACTTTAGTATTGTAGTTTTTCAAATAGTGATGTCTTATTCAACTCTACTTATTACTGAAGTTCAGAGAGCTTTATTTATTTATTTATTTTTGTTTTGTTTTTTTAGCTCACAGCAACCTCTAGCTTTTGGGCTTTGGTGATTCTCTTGCCTCAGCCTCCCGAGTAGCTGAGACTACGGGCATCTGCCACAACGCCCGGCTGTTTTTTTGTTGTTGTTGTTGCAGTTTGGTCAAGGCTAGGTTTGAACCCGCCACCCTTGGTATATGGGGCTGGCGCCTTACTCACTGAGCCACAGGCGCGCTAGCCCCGAAGTTCAGAGGTCTTGAGGAAGTTGCTCAGGGTGCTAAGGCCTATAAATGAGCAAAGAAGGGACCTAAGAACTTGGGTCTTTTGATGCTCATATGATACACTACTTTATTTTCCTTTGGCAGATTAAAGTGTGATGGATAATTCTGTGTATAGCATTTAAGGGTTTTATACGGAGGCATGTTCTAAGAATATCAAGATAGATAAATAGCTTTATAAGTCAGAACTTTGTCCATTTATAATTCACTAATTTATTGATTTTTTTAAAGAATACTAATTTCATTTATTGTAGACTTACTATTTTGAGAGTTATCCAACTTCCTCTAATGCTTATTATTTCCCTTTTACTTCCAATTAATCAGGAAATAATACCTCTGTACTATAAGTGCTTGCTTGTGATTTTTGCTCTATGAACTACTTCACAACACAGATTTTTGTCTTATTAATACTCATATACCTGATTCTCACCACAAGTAGTATGCCCAATTAGTTGTTTCTCATAATCCATATTAGTTTGAGCATTAAGCATATTTGAATTTCTTTGCTCTCCTGTGTGGGATTCTTTTCCTCTATTTTTTCCTTTCCTCTTTGCTATAGTTTTCACTGCCCTTAAAATTTTTTTTCTCAAGAATTTTTTTTTAATTTCTACTGTTGCTCACATTTTTTCAGATTAACAGCCAAATTAAATACTGAAACAATAGAATGTCCAAAAAGTAAAGACATACTTCCACCTGATCCTTATAAAATTAGACAAAGTGAATTATTTTGAATAAGTGATGATCAAAAAAATTACACTTAAAAATATACTAGTAAATAAATGTTCAAGATGTATTTAAATTTCATTTCATTGGTTGGTGCAATAGGTTGTTGGAATGATTAGGCCGCTTTTACCAGCTCTATAAATCAACTGTTATTTAGGTGACATGTTTCCCTGACTTTGTTTTTTTGGTCCTTACCCAGACAATTATCAACTTTCCAGTTTTCTATGGATATGAAGATTTACTCCTAGTCATCAGTGGGACCCCATGAAGTCAGCCAGAAAACCTATGTCCAACTTATGTATCTTTTCAAACTTGTCTGGATTTTTTAATGTATGTGCAAAAACAGATTGTACTTAACTATTCATGAAACATCTATTGATCCTCTACTCTTGTCAGGCACTGTGCTAGGCATTTGAAATCAAAAATGGTCCCTGCAGTTTAATCTGAAGAAATATCTTAAATGTGTTCTGCAAGTGTATTGATCGTGTCTTTATTTTGGTGTTTCATCCTAAGTAAATTTTTATATTAACTAAGTGGATAATGTCAGGTGGAAAAATGCATGTTTAAGAAAGATATTGCTGTATTTTATTAAAGTCATTTATTAGAAAAAGATAAGGACAAATTTTTTCCTTAATACTATATTCTAGGGATTTCTATTCTGTATATAGTTTACTCATTTTAGACCATGAAAATAGTATGTGGCTACCACTGCTGGATTTGTATTGCTAAATATATTTCTTTTAAGATGACCAACACTGTTTCTTAAATTATCTCATTAAATTTTTCTCCCTAAAACCAAAAACCAAACTCTCTACACTTAAATGGTTTTTATTTCTCAGAATTAACTTTTACTTTTTTACATTTCATATAATAGGTTATTCATCATGATTCACTGGAAGACATTGCACATTTTCATTTTGAATTTTCAAATATTTTCTACCATATCTGAATCTAATCAAACAGAAACAGCATGACTTAATCATTGCACAATAATTAGTATACTTTAGGAATTTTGAACTTTTTAGTATATGATAGCTATATTATTCTTAGATTCTTGTAAACAACTTCCAAATTCAATTTTGTGAAGGCAAAAAGTGGAAACCTAATAAACACATGTATATGTAAAAAAAAACAACTCCCAAATTGTAGTTCAAAACCATTTGCAATTTCTAATCTTTATTAAATGATATTATATCTATAGCTTTAGTAAAATAAGTTGGAAGTTTCTCACTAGATGGATGCTGCAATATCAAAAATTACTACCACTATTCCTGTCATGGTTTTCATTTGTATTTGAAAAGTACATTAGAACGAAAGATACTGATTTCACTTTGCCTTCCTTAAAGTATACCTTTGACAATACTATTGACTCACAGTTGAAAAGAAAGAGGGTATTCCTTTGAGGGTGCAGTATCTTGTGAAGATAAATAGACTCCTGAGTGGTAAATTCTGATTTCTTCATTCTTAAATTTCTATTTTAGTAATAATGGTAGTTACTGTTTATTGTTAGTGCCCAGCACTGTGGTAAGTGTATCAATCCCAGTCCTGTGAATGTTGCATTGATTAACCAAACAGCATTTAATCATTATTTATTAGTAATGTGCTCTATCACATTAAATTCATGACACTTTCTAATTCAAAACACAATCACAGTAAAGAGTTCTTATCAATCTGTACTGTGGTAAGCATTAGTAAAATCACAGTCCCAGTGGTTTAT